GATATATCCATCTCATATTATTATTTAATTTTCTACTTATTACTATGCTTCGTATTTATATTAGTTTTATAAGTTTTAGAATGGCCTCGTCTAAAGACAATTGATATAAATGAGATGATTCAGATTCAACCTTCAGAATCTCAGCCTTTTGTTCTCTTTTTAGCTGTCGTTGTGATTGATGTCATGCTGGCATTGTAATGAATACAAATTGATTTTTTTTTAATGAAAACTGACCTGACTATAGTTATTTCTTCCCTCGACCTAATGACAGGGTAACCATGGCTACAGTATTAGCATTATGATCAAGAAGAGCCTTGATGTCCTGACTATCGTTATCCCTCCAGCTCTTCCTGCTGTCATGACAACGAGTCTTTTTCTGGCACAAATTCGGCTTCGTCGTCACGGGATCTTCTGCATCAATCCATCGGCAATTAATCTTGCTGGTACGCTGGATACGGTTGTTTTCGACAAAGTGAGTACATAACCGTTTTGTCGCAGTAATCGACTGAAAATAGCATATCTTAACTAATTTGGGATCGCTTTTATCGTTTAAGGTTCCCATTCCTGTGAAAACTTTCAGTTCGTACGAAAGTGCATGAGGAAGAGATTTTTAGATCTATTTCACCAGAAGACGGTGGTAGATTCTCGTTGTACTGCATCCACTGGGCTTTAAAAAGACGTTCAAGTTGACACAGTCCATGTGGCATCTTCCCTCTTTTCGGGCGAAAACAGCTGAGCCTTCATTGATCGTATGACTAACATCCTCAGAGCTGGAACTCATTCTTGCGAAGGTCTCAAGACAAGAAAGAGAATCGGATCTTTTTAACTTGAAAAAATTTAACTAAGCCTTAATGACCACAGTCTAGCGTGTTCAGACAGGTGGTTTCGTAGCCTGACTTTCACATGTACAGGCTTACATCTTATCTTTTCTCGTTTTATAAGTTAGTTTTCGAGACTACCAATAAATCATATATATGAGGTGTTTAACAGTATTTACCATGATAAGAGGACTGGTAGCTGAATTCTCCCACAATCATATGAAGAGACCTTACGTTTCCATTACATTTCACATAGCCTTGCTTTCCTCCAAGTTATTCTTACCCGGGACGGACTGTACTTTCAACCCTTTCTTGCACTTGCCTCCTCAGCACCCCCAACGGGTCTCAAACTTCCCTTGCAGCGTGTAATCTCGACACGTTAACCATTAAGCCTATTTATCCAAGGAAAGCTAAGTAATATAGTCGATTGTTATATTAAATTCAACTTTGCCTCATCGACAATCTCACTACAGAATGTGATATGGAACGATAACTTGCATTCCTTTAAATTCGCATCTTCTCGGTGACCCAATAACATTCATGGCAATGTGGCGTAGTGGTTAATGTATCGGGATTATACGCTCTACTCCAACAACTCGGGTTCGAGTCACGCTTGGGGCGCTGATGAGGCCTAGGCGAGGTCGAAACTGCAGTCCAGTATAGATAAGAATACCTTGTGGGAAAGTAAGGCTATGTGAAATTCAATGGAAACGTAAGGTGAATTGTGAGAAAATTCATTTTGCAACTTTAAACGAAATAGAGTGAATACACCTCATATACATCTCGTCACTACAACCAGAGTTACTTAAGGTCTAAAGTAATCTTGGTCATGCTTTTTTTCTTGGTTCATTAATCCTTGATGATCAGGGGTCAATGTTAGCCTTTTTACAATTATTGTAT